TCGCCCACGAGGGCAGGCAGCGGGAAGGAGCCGAGGAACTAGGCCATAGCAAAGCGTGGGACAGTGATTGGCTTCCTGTCACTGCTCACAGCGAAACACAGGAGGTCCCGGGTGGCCCCCTCTGCATCCCCTACCCCCAAGGACCTGAGGGAAGTAATGGCTTTAGAACAAGGCGGGCTTGAGGTCCTGGAAGCCAGAGATCGGGGGCTGGGACGAGCCCGCAGCCTGAGTTCTTTCTCCAGGCTGGGAGAGGAGAGTCGCCTGTCCCAGCTTCTCGAAGCCTCCTGCTGGCCTCGGCTCCGGGACCTGCCCTTCCTCTCGGGAAGCTCCCCGTCTCTCGGTGTGGCCTGTGTGGCCGACCCTTCCCCTGCCCTCACCTGACTCCGACCTGCCGTTACACCAGGCCACCAGGATGACCCAGGGCGTCTCCCCGTCTGCCCTCAGCTGCATCTGGTGACACGCTCACAGGCCCGGAGATCCGAAGTGACATCACGGGGACAGCTGTCCTGTCCACCATGCGCTCTGGTAGCACTTCTCTGTTCCTGCCAAGAAGACCATGGAATAGAGGAGTTTCAATTGGCCACCCAACACACACACGCGCACGCACATGCACACACGCACGCACGCGCACACACACACGCACGCACACGCACAGCACACGCGCGCACGCACACACGCACGCACACACACGCACACACGCACACAAACACACGCACACATGCACACACACGCACACGCACATGCACACGCACATGCACATGCACACGCACGCACACACATAATCAAGTGGCCAGGGGCCAGGATATGCCAGGGTCTGCCTGAATCACAGAGGCCTTCCTGGAGCTAGAAGTGTGGGCATGAGGGTGGGGTTCAAGCCTCAAATGCATGGATCCAGGGTTGGGGGGTCAAAGGGAAATCAAGGAGCTGCTGTAGAATAGGGTGAGTGACGTCACACAGATCCCCAAAGACATTCTGCACAGGTTCCGGGGAATTGGGGCTCCACACAAACGTCCTCACTTTCCTGTCGCGAGGCCAGATCTTGAGGACACCCGTTAACTCCAGGGGGCCCACGCTGTGGCCAGCATCCGGGTTCTCTTCGGGAAGCACCGTCCCCACTTCTCTGTACAGGAACCTCCTTCTCCCCTCCTCAACACCCACCCCATGGTTCAATCAATCAAGGCCGGACCCCTTCCTCCCCAGCAAATCCAGTGGAGAGCATGTGACCGGGGCCCAGCCAATCAGCACATCTCCTGCCCTCCCCGCCCAATGATGGGTTCAGAGACTGGTAAACGAGCCAAGCCAATGCGACTCCGAGCTCCACGTGCAGGAATGCCATATGAAGGCTGGCGTGACCCTACAGTTGCCCAAAGCCCCCGCAGAGCCTGAGGAAGGGAGCTGGGGGAAGCAGGCGTGACAGATGGAGACGTATTCCGAAGACCCTGTTTGAGCTTCTGGATCCAGCTATGCCTGCAGGCCACTGTGCCTTCTGGAGCTTTGGGCTTCGCAAAGCAATAAAGTCCTTTTTTTTTTTTTAAGAAAAATTAAAAAGCAAGTTAAAGCTGAAATTTCTGTCACTTGTAATCCTAAACGTCCTGACTAATAGACTCTCCCTCTAGTCATTTTCTTCCACTTCTAGCCCTACTCTTCACTTAGTCATTTAAGAAGAATTCGATTGAAATAAGAAGGAGGGGAAGGAGCCTGAGCAGGGGACCTCTCCCTGCGGCCTCGGAGCCTTCCCTGATGTCGGTCATCAGTGTCCTTTCCTGTTAGAGTTCAGTCTAATGGACAAGAGCCAGCAGCCTCTGGCGGATCTTGGAGTTCAGCATGTCACCCAGGTCTGGGCAAGGCCTCCCTGGGGTGACCCTTCCCCAGGCCTCCTTCACTACCAGCCGCAGCAGGAGGGAGACCGCGGTGAAGGCCCAGGGTACCGCCACATTCCTCCTGGCCCCTCTGTTGATGGCTATGGGCCCGGGTCATCCTGCCGAGGTCTCCTGCGGTGGACGGACCCCTCAGGTCACCGTCTGCCTGATTTCTGGGCTCTGCCGTCACCTGGACGCGGCTCCTGGTACTTTCCACCAGATCCAGGCTCCTGCATGAGCTCCTGGTACCCTTTGTGAGGGGCCGAGCTGCACATGGTGCAGAGACAGATGGACCTGGGACCCCAAGAGGCCACTCGGCCTCTCCAGAACAGCCTCCTCATGGTGGAGTAGAGGATAGGAGGCTGCTTCAGGAGGGCGGGTAGGGATGAGTGGGAGGCTGGTGCCTGGCGGAGAGGAGGCCCTGGACGCGTGTGTGTCCTAAGAGGAAGGAAAGAAGAAGGGGGGGGTGGAAAGAAGAGGGAAGGACACTGACAGCACTCTGCACCCTGGAGGCGCCACATTTGCCCACCCATCCCCTCCCGTCAGATCTCCCATTTTGCACCCAAGAAGGCCCAGCCACTTGCTGTGGGTCTCCAGGCTTTGTCTTCCTGTCCAGTCCTGGCCTCAGCCTCTCATCAGCCCCACCCCGGCTCACCACCGGTCACACACCCAGGCCCGCCTGACCCCCACTGCTTGGCTGCCAGATAGAAAGTGGAACGTCCAGCCAGGAGGTTCCCAACTCAGAGGATCCCAGATTCGTCCTCGGGAGCTGGTTCAGTCTCATCCCGAGGGCCTTCCCGGGCATCCTGGACCGTCCCCTGAGCACGGCCCACTGGGGACAGCAGGCAGAAGGAGCAGCGGCTTCTGCTTTCGGCACCTGTCTTGGGCCGGATCACAGGCTGGTTGGTGCCAAGCCCCTCCAGACCCTGGCTGCGTTGTATTTGGCCTGAAAGATGTCTGAATATTTAAACCATCACCCACATTTAAATATCAGAAAGCCCGACTCAGAATCCCCTGACAATCCGAAGATCTGGATTCACAGGCTCGCGTAGGCAGGTTGCCAGGTGGCTGCAGGCCCTTTGGACTGGCAGGGATTCGCAGGTGCCAAAGCGTCCCCCACACTATCCTGTTTGGGCATGTGGGTGTGATATTTCTCATGCGATAACAATAAATTCCAGATATCTATCCTCTGTGCAGATTAGAAAGAACATTCCCTATTGGCAGATGACATGATTCTACGGGTAGAAAATCCCAACAAACCTAAACCCCACCCCACCCCTCCTAGAACCAATGAGTGAGCTCAGCTAGGCCGCAGGACACGCCATCAACACACAAAGGTCAACCGCATTTCTATATTCCAGCAACGAGCTAGTAGACACTAATCTAAAACATCATACCATTTTCGATTGTTCAGGAAAAGGAGACACGCAGAGGTTTACATTCTGGAAACCCCGAAACATCCATGAAAGGAATCAAAGACGAGGCATACCATGTTCATGGATTGGAAGACTTCATAGGAAAGATGTCATTCCTCTCCAAAGTGACACACAGGAGTGACACAGTCCCTACCAAAATCCCAAGAAGACATTTGTAGGTATAAACAAGCTGCTTCTAAAATGTCCCTGGGTAGGCAGAAGAACTAGAACATCTAAAATAATATGGGGGGAAAAGAATAAGATACAAGAAGTCACGTGACTCACTTTTAAGACTTCCTGTAGAGTGAATCAGGACAGTGTGGCATTGACAGAGAGACAGATACACAGATCAGTGGAAGAGAGGGCCAAGTGAACTTTCCCAAAGGTGCCAAGCAGGTCCACAGAGGAAGGACAGCACTCCAGCAAATAATGCTGAAGCGTTTGGACATCTGCAGGTGAACAAACAAAACTAGAAGAGAAGGGGGGTTTTGTTTGTTTGGGTTTGGGTCCTGGGGATTGAACCCAGGGGTACTTAATCACTGAGCCACATCCCCAGCCCTTTTGATTTTCAATTTAGAGACAGGGTCCATAAGTTGCTGAGGTGAGGGATTTTGTTCCACTTCATCCACAATTCTATCCTGGCTCCTTCGATAGTCACTGACTGGCACTTAATAAGTGCTCAGTAAATATTTGTTGAATGTTGAATAGCTATTTTTTTAACTACCTTTTTTTTGGCATTGTGTCCCATACATGGTTCTAAATATTCGATTCAGTTGATCTAAACCCAATGAGATGGGAATTATTTTCATTCCCACCTGATAGAAGGGAACTCTGAAGCCCAGAGAGGTCATGTCACTTGCAGTGTCCATATAGGACACACACTGGTCTGACTGAGTCCTCCCACTGATCCCTGGAGTGGGTACCTGGCCATCTCTCTACTAATGAAGAACCTCAAGTTCAGAGAGTTTGCATGGATCTCCATAGATAGGGGGCCAGAGCCAAAGTATCACCAAGTACCATCAAGAATCTGTCCTCCTGGCCCCCCACACCCAGAAATCCCAGCAACTCGGGAGGCTGAGGCAGGAGGATCACAAGTTTGAGGCCAGCCTCAGCACTGTAGTGAGGCCCTAAACGATTTAGAGAGACCCTGTCTTAAAATAAAAAGGGCTGGGGACATGGCTCAGTGGTTAAGCACCCCTGGGTTAGATCCCCAGTACCAAAAACAAAAACCAGAAAAGGATCTGCCGGACCCTAGGACCCCTGTCTCTGTTTTCCAAAGCCTTGGGAGGGCAGGGTCTCAGGCTAAGGCGCAGAGCCACACGGCCCTCTCCATAGACCACCCGGTCCTCTCCAGCATTTGCTCGGCGTCTGCTTGGCATATGTGGCTTAAATACCAGGGCTCCCAGCGGGGCGCAGTGCACCGAGCCAGCTCATTTATTCATTAATTTGCTTTCCATATTTCCAAACAGAAAGCGCCTGTTCCAGGCGAGGCAAATCAATATTGCGCTCGGCGATTCATCTTCTTTCCCCCCCCCGCATCTTTGCTCCCCCGTGCTTCTCACCCGGGCTCCTCCTAATGGGCTCTTGCCCGCGGACGAATGGGATTCTCCGTGGCGGCCACACCGCGTTAGCAGATTAGATCATTAATATCTGCATCGGTCATTTGCACCAGCTTCTCCCTCCCTCCCCGGCCTCCTCTGCACCTTGGTGTTGGAGATGCAGCTCCTGATGCTGGAGGACTCGGTGGGGATGGGGTGGCCGCTTCCCAGGTGCCGTTGGCTGCAAGCTTCGAGGTATTGATTTCTTGGCCTGCATTTCTGAAATCAGGTAGATGGCCCCGAGTCGCAGGAATGATTCAGAGAGGGGCTGAATTCCGACTTGCAGATTCCACCCACAGCACCTGCCAGAGGGTTTTTCTCGTTTTCCTAGGAAGAGAGAAAGGTAAAGTTTTCCTGAAATTCATTTCAGAGGAAGTTTAAAACTGAGCACTTACTCTTTGCCACCCGAGCAGCCTCCGAGCCATAGGATTGCAAACCCAAGAGGTGGGGATGGTCATGAGGGCTTTCGGGGGGAACACTGATGTTCTGAGATTTCCCTAAGGTTACAGGGAACTTGAACCCTGGAGACTGTGGGGAGGGGCAGGTATTTTGTGGGGTACTGGAGACTGAACCCGGGGCACTCGACCACTGAGCCCCAGCCCCAGCCCTATTGTGGATTTTATTTAGAGCCAGGGTCACACTGAGTTGCTTAGCGCCTCACTGTTGCTGAGGCTGGCTTTGAACTCCCGATCCTCCTGCCTCAGCCTCCGGAGCCTCTGGGATGACAGGCCTGTGCCATCGTGCCTGCTGAGACTGCGTTCTTGACCTTGCCCTCTGTTAGTTCCCAGAGAGGGAACAGGTAGAAAGATGGGAGTCAGGATTGACGGACCAAATGTTCATTTCTCCAAAAATTCATACAACTGAATCCCTGAACCCCCAAATGTGATGGTACTTGATGGGTTTGAAGCATCAAGATACTAATTTTTCCTTCTTAAAAATCACATGCATTGCCCAGAATTGCAAAATCGAAGCTGAGATCTGTGGGGGCTGGCCTTCCCTTGCCCATGGACAACTCCCCCCACTTATCCAAGCAGGAAGAGAGTCGAACGCATTTCCTGTCAAGTTCCAGGGTTTGACTTTACCTCTGAAGGAGCGGATGATAAATACCTAAGGCTGTGTGGGCCACACCGTCTCCGTCATGTTAATTCTGCCCCCTGTGGCACAAAGGTGACCCTGGACTCTAGGGAAGCAGATGGACACAGCTGTATCCCAAGAACACTCTATTTATAAAAATAGGCAAGAGGCCCAATTTGGTCTGTGGGCCACATCCTCCTGTGCTAGAGGAGGGGACTTTAGGATGGTTTTGAATGATTTCTGAGCCGGTGACGCTGACCTGTCTTGTACTTCTCAGCGGGGCCAAAATGTAGGAGATGCCAGCTCAGGCAGGGGAGAGGCCACCTGCATCCGCAGGGCCGGACGACCTGCAAAATCTCTTCTGTGAGTGGAAGCCAGCCCGGAGTCACCCAGGGTAACCCGACAGAAAAGAAGTCTGCAGTAATAACAGTGAAGCCAAAGTCCTCACAGTGGCCTCGGAGGATTGCTGATGTTCTCGCCCCACCCCGACTCCCCTCTGTTTCAGACACGTGTGGGCCTCCTTCCTCTTCCTGGAATATCTTGCATTTCCTGTTCCTTCTGCCAGGGCCCCGTGTCCCTGGACTAGCCTGCTGGAGGAGAGACACTCACGGAGAAGGAACACACTGTCCCAGCCCAGGCCATCCTGGACCAGGGAGGTCCTGGCCGAATCTACCAGCTGACCATCAGTGAGTCCAGGCAAGATCGGCCAAACCTGGTCCAGGTCAGTGGGACAACCCAACCCAAACCGTAAACTCATCAGAAACCACAAATCTCAGTGCTTTTAAGTCACTTGTCTTTGGAATTCTTTTCTTACACAGCAGTAGCTAACTGATACAAGAGGCTGTGCTCCCAACTCACTGGGACTCGGACCCAGACATTTGGAAATTTCTCATCAGGAAAACAAGAGACTTGGGGGGGAAATATCAGTGTTTGCTTGGCAGACAGCCCAGCAGTATTCAGCGGGTTGCCCGCTCCCTCTTTCTGAAACTCTATCTTCCCTTGGCCTTTGCGACCCCGCGTATTGGTCTCGTGTTTCTCCACTTACAGCCTCAGCTTCTTCCCTCTGTTCCTCCTGAAGAATCATTCTCCAGTGTTCAGTTAGCCCTCACTTATAAATCTCTCAGAGTCATTTTATTGGTCCCCATGGTGTCACTGGTCACATTAGGACATGCTTTCCCCTGTGCCAGGCCCTGGGGGTAGGATTCTCATATTTGGCTTAAATTAATTAATCATGGTCCACGCTCTGGGCCCGGGCAGAGACCCACCCTGCACACACCGGTCCTCCAATGGTTCTTAGGTGGGTGACTAACTGTGACACTGTCACACCAGAGATGACCTCCTCCTAACTTTCCCTATAACCAGCCCCTTTGCCCCACACCCAGCCCTTGCCACATCCTGGGTGTCACATCAAACCTCTTCTTTTGCTGACACCCTATCCTAGGCTCATTCTGTCCCTTCCCTGGATGAAGCCCCTTGCCCCACACCCAGCCCTTGCCACATCCTGGGTGTCACACCAAACCTCTTCTTTTGCTGACACCCTATCCTAGGCTCATTCTGTCCCTTCCCCTGCCATAACCTGTGCCTTCTCGGGCCACAGTCCCCTTCATCCCGCAGTCAGAGCCATAAGCTGGCCACACCATCCTCACGCTAAAGCTCCGACTTCCGTTGCTCTTATGATAAACGTTAAGGTCCTGCGTTCCTCCTCACTCTCTCTGCAACTGCATCCTGCAACCGCACCTTTGTTGCAATTAGTGAAATGGATTATGCTTCCTTCTACCACAGGCCATTTGCACATGTTCTTCCTAGATTACTCTCATTTCCACCTCTACCTTCCCAACTCCTTGTCAGTCCTCAGCTCTCAGCTCCAAAATCACCTCCTCAGGGAAGCCCTCCTTGATCTCCTGTGTCACGAGCCACCCATAGGCTGCGTGTGGGCCACCGCGCATTGAGCCTTGTGATAGGAACACCTGGTGTCTGGGAATGACCAGTGGACATTTCCTCTGGTGAACTGCCCTGACACACTGTGAAATCCTGACCCACTCTGCCATGTCCCACACAGCCCCCGAGATGGGTGTCACTTGCCAAGATGCCAATCCACCTGCTGACTGCAAAATAACAAGAAGCAAGACTCCACCCTGGAGACCCTGCCTTGGATGCACCCCCTTAAATAAGCCACTAGGGCCATTTTTCTTCATCTAGTTCTTCATCTAGTTGTTTTTTTTTTTTAATCATTTTTCTTTATCTAGTTTCTTTATCTAGTTCCAGCTCTTGTGTGGACTGGATCTATCGGGGGCTCTGCTTTTGTAAATGTATTTCTGACTCTTTCTCTTTTGTTCTTCACCAGTGATTTCAGACTCTAAGTTCCCAGATGGCTCACACCCTCTTGGCAGGAAGAAGAACCCCTTAATGAGACGCTGGCCAGCACTTCCTATACCCCTGAACAGGTCAGATGCCCCCCGCTCCGACACACTCTTAGAGCCACAGGTAAATTTGCTTCGTGACTACATATCATTATTGACATCTTAAAGTAATGAGTGTCATTCTTTGAGAAGGAAGAATCAACTTAGGACGCTGTTTTTAACTTACTTCTTCCTTTAAATAATGCTCCATTACCCCTGGAGGTGAAAGACCAGAGTAGAAAACTAAGCAGAGATCTGAACACAGGTCAGTCCAAATCCCGAGACCGACCTTCTCCACAGTCGTCAGACTGGGTCCCAGCGAGTCCCAGAGTTCAGGGAATAAGGAAAAACGAAGCACCCCGTGGCTCTGGGTTTTCTCGTCCACCTCTGTGTGGATCTGTGCACTCCCACGAGTGCAGGCCCGAATTTCCTCTCCCTCCCCATAGCCTTTGACCTCAGCTGCGACCTCCCCTAGTCTCAAAGTCGGCTTCCGATCTGCTCTTGACTTCTCCGGTTCCTGATCCCCTGATTCCTGTGCACGGCCTCCTCCTCCTCACTCTTGGACTTGACTCTTGCTACAGATTTTTCAGCCTCCAACTTCCCAGTTTGCTTTATCCATGCAGAGCACGATCCCAAATGGCCGAGCTGGACTCTGGCTGTCAATCAAATTAACATCTTTTTCCTTGCTCCTCCAGGACGGGTGGGCCACCCAAGCCGTGTGGAGCCATCTTGAACTTCTTTCCCTACTTGGACCAGAACGCTCCGTTCGCCACCCAGTCTTGTGTCTGTGACTCTGTGAATATCTCTCCTCTCCGTCCTCATGGTCAGACCCTGGCCTAGGCCACCAGCTGTCATTCCTGCTGACAGACACGTGAGCCCTGCTCCCCCTGCTTACAGCCTTCCAGGCTATCACCACCCCAGGTAAGAGGCAGACCCCTCACTCGACCCCCAGGACCCCCCCAGGCTCGCCTCCCCCGCTGGGCCTGGCTCTCCACCTGGATGAACACCAGAATTACCTGGGGAGCTTGGAAACCGATACCCAGGGCTTGGCCCCTCCCCACACAGCATGATCGACGTGACCAGGAATGAAGTACAGGTATCTGCCTATTTTTAATCCCCCAACTGGTTCTGACATGCAGCCAGAGCCGAGAGCCCTTCTCTAGCCCAACAGAACGGCTCCGAGTTCCACATTCTCCCAGGCCCTGCACCCGTCCCTCCCTGACCCACCAGCGTCTCCTTGTCTCACCAGGAAAACATTTATTTCATCCCTGAATAAATTCAGCTTTCCAGGATGAGCCAGGAACTTTCCTCTGAGCTCACACAGTGTCCTCTGCTTCGCGGATCAGGGCATTTATCACACTGGATAAGGGGTGACCTTGGGATGGTGACTTTGGCAAAGAGGAGTCTCCTCACTACAACACCGGAGCCTAGCACAGTGGCGCCCTCTCTGGACAAGTCAATGTTTGCTGAATGAATAAATGATTTCCATCTGGCTCCGGCCCTAAACATTCCTCTGTTCCTCCCCTAGTGGACGTCAGTGCACATAGTAGGTGCTCAATAAATATTTCTTGGGTGAATTAACGTATATATAAGACCCCAGAGTGGATTTCCCACCTCATCCTCAGTTTCCCAGGAGCGCTCTCAGGAGCAGAGACAAATCAGGTGGAACTTCCCACAGTTTTGCTAAAATGGAATTTGCCAAAGGACGTCCTGAAAAATGGCTTTAATTAGGCCCGTTAATAGGGGAGTCGTTGGTGGCAAAGATTTAAAGCTGAGGCCGGAAAAGGTATCGATAATTTTACCATTTTAAATTATACAGGAGGTTATTTCTCACCCTCGCCTTAATTATAAGAATGCATCTGGATGAAACCTCAGCTTTGGAGAGAAATAAAGCCAAAGGTAGAGGCGAGACCAGATATTTCATTGAAATGAAGCATCGGAGGAGGCGCCGCTGGCAGAGACCCAGCTGGCTTGGCCCAGGTGTGCCCAGCAGGGGGGAGGCCGGGCAGTGGCTGACCTCATCACACTAAGAACGACAGATCCAGCCTCGGGCTTTTAATTGCAAGCAATTGCAAGCCTCATCCAGGAGAGCAGAGTCGCTGTCCTCTCTGACCGGGGTCCTCAGAACCCCTGGCGCTCTTGGGTTGCACTGTCCCGCTCACTGGGCGGCGTGGGAGGCTCAAGTTGTAATGGCTTCCACAGTCACAGCTTGGAAGGGACACGCCCTTGGTCTCCAGCTCTGGCCTATCAGAAGCACCCAGGGGCTCCTAAATTAGGGAGCAGCTCGGCTTGGGGTTCTAGCTTCCTTCAGGTACAAGGAGCTTGGACTGCCCGTTGGGGACAGTCTCTTCTCTGGGGACCCAGGAAATACTCACTTTCTCTCTCTGCATATGTTTAAATCCCCCAAGTGACTCTAACATGCAGCCAGAGCTGAGAGCCCTTTTATTTATTGAGCACCTACTATGTGCACAGACCTGTGTGTGTGTGTGTGTGTGTGTGTGTGTGTGTGTGTCCCTGCCCCTCTTTCATTTATTTATTTGGCTATACTAGAGTTTTAACCCAGGGACACTCTACTACCAAGCCATATCCCCAGCCCCCCAATCCCTTTTTAAATTTTTGAGACAGGGTTTCCCTAAGTTGCTGAGGCTGACCTGGAACCTTCGGTCCTCCCGCCTCACCGTTATGGGACTACAGATGTGTGCCACAGCTCCCGGCTGACAATTGTCTTTTGAATGTCCGTACTTGACACTCTGCCTTCTACGGAGCGCAGGGAGCAGGGTGAGCCCGGGAGGCACCTGCCTTCAGGGAGCACCAAACAGCAACAAGCCACGCTGGCAACCACGTCATCATACAAAGTGATTCAAGATAAAAGTTCATCAGAAATTTCTTTGATGAATAAAATATCAAAATTTTCCACTAAAACTAATTCACTCAACAAGAGCGTCAGAGCCTGCGCTTGCAGGACGGGCTGCACCCGCCTCCCCCCAGGGGCACCTGTGGGTCTAGGCACCTGGGCTGCGGCAGGGAACTGGGCAAAGCTCCCCTCACATCCGTTTCAGACCCCAGGGAGACGGTGACAAAAGCAATAACTGGGTCCAAGGTAGAGGGGTGGCGAGGAGTGTTCTGGGGATGAACAAACTGGGAGACAGGAAATTCCAAAATCAGCATCTCCAAAGCTCCTTCCCAGCCTGGACCCTGTGCCACCTGGTGTAGTGGGAAGGACAAGCTTGCAGGGTCCCCCGGAGACAGCTCTCTGTCCCACTGCCACATGCACTGCGTCTCAGAATAAGTCACTTGCTCTCCAATCTTATTCCTATCATCTGGGGAACGGAAAGGCAAACATCAAAAATAACAAGGACTCACCCAGCCTAGTGCCCAGGTGTATTAATACACAAAGAATTAAATAGCGTTGGCCAGCGTCACTATGCATGGGGCCAAGTGCCAAGCTCCCTGCGTTCCTTCTCTGGTTAAGCCTCGTGCAGTTCAGTGAGATGGATATTTTGTTTTATTTTATTTTATTTAGTTATTTGGTACCAGGGATTGAACCCAGGGGCACTCAACCACTGAGCCACAACCCTCCCCCCAGCCCTCTTTATTTTTTATTTTGACACAGGGTCTGGCTGAGTTGCTTGAGGCCTCACTGGGTTGCTGAGGTTGGCCTTGAACTAGCAATCCTCCTGTCTCAGCCTCCGGAGTCGCTGGGGTTACGGGCACGCACCACCGCGCGTGCCCATGTCCAGGGAGGTGGGTATCTCTACCACGTGAAAAACTGAGCCCGGATTAGAGTTTGTCCCCCACCTCTCACCACGGTAAACAGGGAGAATGAGGCTTCGAGGTCTTTGGACACAGATTCCCAACCATGTGGCGCTACCTCTGCCTCTGAACCTGAAGCCAGGTCCTCCTGCTAAGTGACCTTGAGCAATTCTCTGGATCTTTTCTGAGCTTTGTTGTCCCCATCTGCAAAATGGGGATAACCGTGTGCCTCCGGGCCCAGAAGACCATCACGCACCCCAATTCCCGCTGCTCCACTCCTGGATGCAGCCGCCAGTCTCCAAGGTGCCAGGGGGGGCGGAATCGGCGGGTGAAGTTCAAAGGCAGCGCGTTTCCTATTTCCTGACACTCTATTTCATGGATCACGGGGACGCAGGTACAGCTGCTTATTCAACAGAGAAAAGAATGAATTCATTTTCATCCCTTAATGCCCGAGGTGACCTACTCTCTGCTGATCTCTCCTTTCCCGGGCTGCGGCCCTTCCCGCGGACTTTCAATTTGGCCAGAGACAGAAAATGGGCATTAACAACCCAGCGTCCTACCGGGGGAGCGCTGGGAGCGCCCTGGCCGCCGAGCCGGTAATAAGTCCAAATGAAAGATATCATGTCACCTCGTTTGAATTAAACAGATGAACTACAGTCCCAGACCGTTAAAAATGAGCCCATCTGCTGGCGGGCTTCCAAGGGCTCCGCGCCCATCGCCCCACAAGGTGCCAGGCTCCGGCGGGGTTTTATATCCTCATTTTCTGCCAATAATTCCTCCTCTCTGCAAAGGTGCAGGAGTAATTTGATGCTCAGGATGCTCCCAGGGTGACTCCCGGGCCAGCCCTGCGCTGGTCCCCTCGGCGGGAGCTTTGATCTAACTGAGAAGCTCCAGGGGACCACCGATGGGCATCGTGGGGCGACTGGGGAGGTGCAGGGGGCGCCCCACCTGCACCCCACAGGCCCACCGGGGAGGCGCACTTGGCTGCATCACCTTCCTTTAGGGAGGGGGAAGGGGGGGCTCTGGAATTCGGGGAAGCTGGGGAGTCTAGGTCAAAGGACCCAGGGGACCCCGAGTCCCAGCCTCCAGCAAATTCAGGGAGCCCCTCCCCCCCAGTGAGCCTGGCCGAGGGTTCAGCGTGCGGCTGAAGCCCAGCTCTGCCGTGTGCCATCTGGAAGGGGCAGGAGCGTCCCCTTACTGAGCCTCCGTTTCCTCATCTGTGATTTGGGACTTTAGAAGCAAGGACTGTTTGGCAAAGGCTTCTCTGCTTCAAATGCCCCTCACCAACACCAGAACCCCTCCGCGGGCATTTTACACCCCTCCAGACCCAGAAGTCAGCCTCAGGGTGCGGTGAGACTCTGCTGTGCAGCGCGGCCCATCCCCCAGTGAGCGGATCTGATGGGCTTTGTGTTCACGGTGACAGTGATGGAGCTACTGAGCTTCCCCAGGAAACCCTCTCCACTGTGGGCGCCTCCCTTTAGTGAGACTCCGTGGAACTCTTCTAGGCACGGGGGACTCGGCCGTGGCAAGTCCCCCTCCCTAGTGTCCAGGACGCCAACAGCCAACCTGTAGCAGCCTCATTGGACAGAGGAGGACGCTGGGTCTGAGAGGGTTTAAGTCACTTGGCCAGGGGCCACCGCTGACCACGGGCAGAGCCTGGATCTGACCCCCGAGGCCACACTGTGGAAACGGACGCAGAGCCTGCTGGGATCAGGGACGCCTGACCTCCCTGTGCCCCCGGGATCCACCACCAAGAACTCTGGAGCCTGCTGGAGCCTTCTGGAGCCCGAGAAGAGACGGCCCTTGGCCCTGGGTGGAGTTCAGGGGTTCCCCAACTTGAGCAGCCTCGGGACGTCTCGGGTGGCCTGCTGCGTTAGGTGGTGGCTCACCCGTGACTTCGCCCTGGTTTGCTCAGAACATCTGGCTTTAAAAGCTAAAGTCCCACGTCCTGGGAGCCCCCCACCCCACCCCACCGCAGGCATCTGCTGAACTGAAAAGTTAACACCCTTCTAAGTCAGCGCCCTCCACTGGCCTGAGAGTGGCCTCCCTCCGGCCCGTCCCTGAGAACCACCTGCTCAGCACTTGTACCCATGCCGCCCTGCGCTCACCTCTAGGGTCTCTGGGCGCTCGGCTGAAAGCTCCCAGGACAATGACGCCGTGTTCCTTGAGAAGGCCTGGCGTCCTGGGGTCACAAAGTGCCGTCTAAATCATGGCCTCAGACCTGGCCAGGGCCCACGTGACATCACCTCTCCAGGCCTCCATTTCTTCAGCCAGGTTCTGAGGGCCCAGGGAAAGCTCAGGGCAGGGTCCGGACATGGGGCGTTTATTGAGCACTTACTATCCTCCAAACCTGACCTCCCATAACCCTCACTACAGCCTGGGAGGACAGTCCCCCACACTGACAGAGGAGGCCAGGCTGGCAGACTCCCCGACACCCGACTCATGCTTCATGACCCCGCGTCAGCCTGGGTGCTGGCATGCTGATGGTGGCTTCCTGCCCGAGCCTGTGTCGGCTTTCTCTGGCAACCTCGGTGTCGCGGGAGAAACCAGAAGTACAACAGACAGGACGGGAGCCCACCTGGGTGTCTTGGGATCACCCCCCAATAAACCACTGGACCCCAAGTCCATGCCCCACGCCTGCTTCTGAGGAAACCCAAACTGAGACAGAGAGGTTAGGAAACTCGCCCGGGATCACACAGTAAATCCGTGGCAGAGCCTGGATTTGAACTCAATCCTGCGGCTTCATGTGCCAGGTGCCGCGTGACCCTGCTCCTCCTTGGGACTCTTTGTGCCTCTCTGCCCTCCGTGGGCATCTTTCTCCTCCTTCCGCCCTTCCCTTCCCGTCCTTCTCACAAGACATTTGCAATCGAGAACATGAGAGGGTTATTTGACACCAATGTAGGACGGGTCCTGATGAGAAGGAGTGGGTGCTTCTGGGTGCTTCTGGGTGGCACTCGACCCTCAGAGGGGCCTGCCTCCCTTTCAGCCTCCCCAGCCTCCTCTCAACTCCTGCTCCCTTCACCCCAGCCCCAGACAAGTGGGTTAACTCAGCTAAAGCCGAACATTCTGGAATGACCATGTTTATGACCAAATAGTGTGACTCATCCCGTCCCCACACTGAACCTCCTGGAGATGCTCAGCTGGACCATGAGGCCCAAGGGCTGGGGAGGAGTTTCTTCCACGTGTGCAAATAAAACAAGTTCAAGTTGCAGAGTTTGTTTGGGGGGAGCTCCTCAGGAAGCCCCAGGGGGGTGTCATGCGGAGGAGACACTTGAAGGAATCTTTGCTTATGGCAGGGGAAAAAGTGGGGAAATGGCCCAAATGTGCATCAGGAGAGCAAGTAAATGATGGAGTTCATCCACAGACTCTAGTAACGACAATGAACTTGAGCTACGTGTGAGCCCAGATGAATCTTATAAGCAATTTGTAAGAGGATATGTGAAGAACACCATCTATATGGAGATTAATAGCACACCAACAACCCACGCCGGCTCACAGTGCTCCTTCACAGTTTAGGTGTGAAGAGGGATATGGCGGTACTGGGTTTTTCACATTCTGGTTTGCCAAGGGGAGACGTCATGTGGGAACTAAGTGGTTTGGGTGTGTGTGTGTTAGATTTCTGTCACTGTGACAAAATACCTGAGGTAAACAACTTAAAAAGAGGAAAGGTTTATTTGGTTCACAGTTTCAGTGGTTTCAGGTCACGGTCCCTTGGCCTCTTGCTTTGGGCCTGTGGCAGCACAGTGCCTCATGGCGGGCAGACATGGCGGAGGAGGCCTGTCTACCTCACGGCATCTAGGAAGCAGGAGGAGGAGAGAGAGGAAGTGACTGGGGTCCCAATGTCCCGTTTAAAGCCATGCCCCAGGGACCTTCTTCCACTAGGTCCTACCTCGCCAAGGTTCTGCCACCTCCCGACAGCACCAGAGACTGGGGACGGCGTCTTTCACCACCTGGCTCTCTGGGGAACATTCTAGAGTCAAGCCCCAGCAGGGCACATCGGTAATGTCTTATTTCTTGGGCACGTGGATGTTTATTTGTTTATTTTTTGTAGGCCTTAAGGGGAAAACAGGAGCGGAGATTCCATCAGGCGCCTGGAGATGAGGGATCACGTTCACACAGAGCACGCTCCAGGCTCTGCTGAGTGGTCCTCCCTGGACAGGGCATCGACCCTGTTCCCAGCGACCCTGCACCCTGGGCCTTGCGTCAGTGCCCTGTGGACCTGAGGGGCAGCTGCGGCTCTGGGTCCACAGAGCACTTCGCTGCCCCCGACACACTGTGTCTTGAAGCCCAGTGAAGTCACCGGGAGCAAGGACCACGGCGGGTGCAGCTGGGTGACCAGCCTGGTGCTGGGAGGGCCCCGGGGCCGGGGTCAGACAACCCGGGTCTCAGTGCCAGCCAAGTGCAGGTCTGGGGCATGAGGGTGTCTGTCCTCAGGAGGACACTTGTCACCCTGCAAGTGGGCCCACGGCCGGTGCTCGGGGACTCACTGCAGGGAGCCAGCCAAGCACCTGGCCAGGCTGGGCTCTGGGGAGGGACCCCCAGAGGAGACCAGGGAGGGGAGCCGAGGGGAGAGGGTGGGCGGGTGGGGGTGGGGAACCTCGGGGAGGGCCGTCCCAGGGGCCATGCTGGGGACAGGCGTGTCTGTGGTTGTCCTGTGCATGTGTTTGCGCGACTACGGGCTCACACACGTGTTCACGCACCTGCGCGCACATACACGCTGCGCACTCTGCACAGCTCCCTCTCGGTCCCGCAGCTAAGGATCCTGCAGGAGCGGACCCGCCCTGACTCAGCCCAGGCCTCACAGCGTCCCCCTGGGGAGTGACAGTCTCCATGTTATTACCCATTTCCCAGACGGGGAGCTAAGGTTCAGAGAGCTAAGGGGACCACACGATGTCACTGCAACCAGCTGGCCCGAGAGAAACCCCCCCCAGGCCCAAGCCACCCCGTCACGCCCCGAGATGACCATGCCAGCCGACTGGCGCTCTGCTCCACGGGGCCCCCCACGGTCCACACAGCACCGGCTCCGACTCCTCTGCTGAAGACTCTCAGCGATCCCTCCATCACGCGGGGTGAAGGCCACAGCCCCCGCGGAGCCCCCGGGACCTGTCCTCTGTGTGGCCCTGCGTGACCCTCTCCTCGGTCTGCATTTGCTCCTTCTGATTGCACACACACTCACACACACACTCACACACACACACATACACACACATACACACATACACACTCACACACACTCACACACTCACACTCACACACACTCACACACACTCACACACACACATACACATACACACACACACTCACACATACACACACATACACACACACATACACACACTCACACACACACTCTCACACACACACTCTCACACACACACTCTCACACACACTCACACACACACTCTCACACACACACTCACACACACACTCTCACACACACACACACTCACACATACACACACACACACGTGTGCCCCAGGGCTACCCTCCCCGGTTCTCTGCCCTCCTGACATTGACCCTGACCCACAGGAGTCTGCCCTCCTCTCTGTGTCCCTCACCTCCATGAACCAGGCCTCCGAGGGTTGGGGCTAACTTGAGGCCAACACAGGGCAGGGACTCAGTGACCAGTGGAAGACAGAAGGAACCGTCCAGGAAAAACTTGCTGAATGAATGAATCACGGAGTGACTAGGTGTGTCACGTTCAGGGACCCACGGGCCACCCCAGCAAGGGCTTCAGCTAAGGTGGGGTGGACACCAGGCTGGGGCCTGCGGCTGGGCCAGTTTTCTGCAGATGTTCTTCTCCATCCCCTAATATGAGGAAGGGTAGGATCTCCCCATCCGGGGATCTGATGCCGAGACACTTAGAGTACAGGGTGCGGAGACCCCAGCCGGAGCCCACCAGGGGCCCTCAGAGGCTGCATGCGACCGCGCACGGGCAGCGCCGGGGCTCACAGAGCATCCACTCCGTTGTGGCCACGGATGACGCACCCCAACTTCAGTGGCTGAGCCAGGAAGCCCATGGGTGGGGGGCAGGGCTTCCACTCCCCACGGCCATTCAGGGACCCAGGCTCCCCTCAGGGCATGGCGGGCCTCATGCCAGGCTCCCAACAGAGAAGGATCGTGCACAGGAGATGCCAGTGGCCTGTCCCTGCAGAGAGGCGACACCCCTGCTGCCCACATTCTGTTAGCTCCACCTGCGTGCGAGGGGTTGGAGAAATAAATGAGAAGAGCTCACGACTGCCCAGCACTGCCGGCCACACCACACTGCTCCACCTCCACGGTCACTTCCTGTAACCAGGTCTCCCGTCCACCCTTGGCTAGGACTTGGGCGTGTCTTTCTGGCTGCTGGTCCTGTGGGCCCCAGTCACCTGGGCAAAGAAGTTGACCTGTGTGAGACAGGGACCGCGGGGCAAGAGAAGCAGCGAGCATCTGAGCGGAAGCAGCTCTCCTGGGGCGGGCAGCCAGCGGGACTGGACACAGGGCCAGCGCAGAGGCTCACCCTGTCATCCTGCTTGGGAGGCTGAGGCAGGAGGATTGTGAGTTCAAAGCCAGCCTCAGCAACTTAGTGAGACCCTGAGGCACCCAGGGAGACCCTGTCTCTAAATCACGAGGGCTGGGGGCGTGGCTCAGTGGTAAGTGCCCCTGGTCCACTCGGGTACACTAAGACTGGAGACTGGCAGGTCAGCCTGGGCATGCGTGGTCCCTCATGAGATAGATGCCCGGGTTCACCTGCCACCCACGTCTCCCGTGGAACTGTGGCTCTGGCTGGGTGGGCTGAGGTGCTGCTCTGCTTGAGACCTGGGGACCGTGGCTCCAGGGGGTGCCAGGACAAGGCTCTGGGCAGGGCAGCATGACCTTTAGCACAGCAGGGACACCATAGGGACAGCTTCCCTGGGGCCCTGCAGGTGGCAGGCAAAAGTGAGCAGGTTGACACAGAACAGAACCCACAGGGGACCCGGCCCGAGACCCCCAGAACAGCCCGAGGATTGAAGAGGGGGTGCCCAGGTGCCGCTCCCCAGGGGGCCCCTCTGTCCCCAGCTGTACAGGACCCTCTGGCTGCTGCGTGTCTCGGCCATTGATTCTGGACAAGCCCCGGGTGTTCCTTTCAGGCCCGTGATAGTGTTCCTGGGGCAGGTGGACTGGGGAAGGGGACGGAACATGTCCCAGTTTGTCCCCGTCAGTCCCCAGCACCAGGGCTTCTGCCCTACTCGGTACTTGTGTGGTGACAAAGCAAGTCCACAGCCCTAACCCTCTGCCACGCGCCCCACCCCTGCCTCTCTCGTGCCCATTCCCTGGAGGCTCATCCTGGTCCCTGTTCCCAGGCTGTGGCCCTCGCCACGTCCCTTACTCTGAGCATCTCTCCTGGGTCTCACCTCCTTGCCTGTCCCCAGTGAGGAACACGGGGTTCCTGTGTCATGGGGCTGAGTGACGTTCTCCAAGGAGTGGCTTTCGTCCCTCCGACCCTGCGTCCCACTCAGACAGGCCAGGGTGCCCGAGACCTGTGGCTGGGGACAAGCTCGGGTCACCCACACGCAGGGGCGGGAGTTGCAGAGGATCTTCACGCCCCTTGATCTCTGGGGAAACGGGAACACCCCTGAGAACCGCGAGAACCGAGGAGGCTGCGACTCCTTTCCTCCAGAAAAGGAATCGTCATCATCATCGTCACCCGTTTGGCGCTCGGATTCGACCTGGGAGCTCCCTGAGGGTCAGTGGGTAGCTCCATCAGTCAACAGCTCCTTTACTCCATCGCTGCTCGGTGATCCTCTGTTAGTACCTCCTGGTGACTGGCGGGCTGGGCAGGGGTGCTGCTCCCTCAGGGCTGCCCACCACGGGCTCCCATGGCCACGGGGATGGAGCCTCTCCTCTGGCCCAAACTCCTAACCTTGGCTGCACATCGGAATGACCTGGGGAGCTTTTTAAAATTATGCTTCTAAAGCCTCATCCCAGAGCAATTAACTCAGACCCTCTGGGGCTGGGGCTAGGGCCCAGGCGGCCCTGACGGTATCTGACGGGGCAGGCAAAGGAGAGAGCCACTGTCCTAGGGAATCCCAGCATGGCTTCTAGGTTCCCCAGATGGCTGGGAACAGTGCGTCTGCGCGTCCACGCAACCCGTGTTTAATGAGCATCTAGTACGTGCCAGGCAGTGTGCTAGACGGGGGCCGAGCAGAGGGTACGGAACCAAAATCTCTGCTGTCACCACATTTGCGTCCTGGTGGGGGGGACTGGCCATCGAGACCCACACCCAGTTCACCACTGTGCCAGGTGGGAGGGCGCATGGCGTGGGGGAGGCGGGGGTCTGGTGAGGGGCTGAGGCTGAGCTGAACTGGGGTCCTCTCCATCCTCAGAGTCACCTGGGCCAGGAGGCAGAGGCTGTCCCTGGGGGGGTTGGTTCCCACCCACTCTGCCCAGGAGCCCCCTTCTGCCCAGCCCCCTCCCTCCAGGCCAGGCCGCTGAGGTCACCAGCTGGTGCCGGGGCAGCATTGTCCTCCCTCCCACCCTGTCCCCCGCCTCACAGGGCCCATCCCCGTGGGAACCGAGCCGGCCAATCAGAGCCCTCCCTGTGAAAAGGGCAGCGCTATAAATTGAGCCTCTCCCCCTGACCGGCCACAGACAACACTCAGAGGCCTCCCAAGGTCCCCTCCTCCTGGACAAACCCATCCCCTTGCCCCCCGCTTTCCCCAAGAAAGAAGGAGGGGGGTCCCCTGCCTGGAATGCCTGTGAGCCAGAGCGCAGGGTCCAGCCGCACAGCCTAGAGCTCCGCGCCCTGCCGGCCAGCCATGCAGAAGAGGCCCCGCAGCCCCTGAGCGGGACGGGCAGCACCCTCGGGAAGCCCCCGAGCAGCAAGGCCCTGGTGCAGAGCATGCCCCAGCCCCAGCAGGACGAGTGCAGTAACGCCAGCCTACTGAGCAGCGGGTACACCGGGGACACCGAGGACAGCGACGTGAGATTGGCAGCCGGCCACCGGGTTGCCCTGTTGAGCAAAAGGCCCCACTCCCAGGCGGGCAGCGCACACGCGCCCAGCCCCGTGAGCAGCCGGCTGAGCGGCCACGGCCAGGGCACCAGGCAGGCTGGAGGGGAAAAGTGAGGGCAGCCTGCGGGGCACCAGCCTCAGCAGCCTGGGCAGCATCGGCTTCCTGAGCCCGGGCAGCAGCTTCCTGACCTACCAGGTGAGCAGCGGGCTGCTGGACCCCCCGGGCAGCCAGCCCTCCAGCCAGACCGGCAGCAGCCAGAACCTGCCCGGGAGCGGCAGCGGGCAGAAGACCCCCAGCAGCAGCACCCACCTGCAGGAGGACAAGACCGGGGACAAGTCGGGAAGCAACAGCCAGGTGGCCCCGGCGGAGCAGCCTGCCCAGGTGAACGTGACCATGTGAGGCCGGTCCCCAGCCCCAGGTCCCCTCAGATCTCCACCCACGGGGCCCAGCACTCCCAGACTTCACCCAGGGAGGCAACACCTGACCAGTCGTCCCCGAGGTAGCAGCAGCCATCAGCAGGCAGGTCCCGGTGCCGCAGGGCAGGGCGGCTGAGCTCCATCTTTACTGAGGGTCGGGCATCAGGGACGAGACCAGCAACCCCGAGGACCACTGGGGTAAGAAGAGCTGTGGCCGGGTCCACGGGTGCAGGGACGGCGGGCAGGGTCAAGAGCACCCGAGGGAATCAGACCCAGGACAGTGAGCCTCAGCCAGGGGCACCTCGACCCGGTGCCATTGAGCAGAGGCTCCACACCCAGGTGGGCACCGCAGGCCCTCCCCGCCCGCTGAAGAGCCAGTCCTTCCACAGTGAGCACCAGGGCCTGGGGACCGCCTCCCCATTCACCAGTAGTGACAGTGGCAGCTATGCTAAGGCCATCGGAGTTAGAACCTTCCACAAGGAAACCACCCTAAAGGGTGAGCGCCATCCGCAACCAGCACCAGCCGCGGTGAGCTCAGAGGGAAAGGCGGTGACCACGCGGGACTGTCCCCGACAGAGCACCTGGTCGTCTGCAATCTCGGTCCCTGCCAGACCTGTCACTCACGCTGTCTGAGGCCGGTACTGCTCACAGGAGCACCCAGCAGGGCCACGGTGCACAGGGACACCTCGGGGACTCAGCACCTCCAGGCACTCGGCTCACAGTGACATCACAGGGGAAGGAGCATGGGGAGCAGCCACGTGCACACCCGCCCAGAGAGAGCGGGATCGAGAAAGGACCCTGGAGAGGCCGGGTCAAGGGAACCCCATCCTCCAAGAGCATCACTCGCCGGAGCTCTGGCTCCTTTCCAAGCGCTGTGTCTGGGGGACGTCAGCCCAGAGACCGCCCAGGAACCAGGACTCCTCGTGCCCCACCCGCGTCTCCACGCGCTTCTCCCAGGCAGAGACGAGGCCAGGGGCCGTCCTGTGTTCCCAGGTGACATGGTGCTTCCTACGGCAGGACAATGCCATGATCGACACTTCATGGTGACAGAGACCAGCCCAGCCAGGGACGACTGAGGCAGGAAGCTCTGGGCCACTGAGTGAATGTCACCTGAGTGGGTGTGAGGGCTGGCGCCTCTGCCCTCCCCTCCTGGGGACCAAGGGCCCCTCCCTGGCTGACTCACCGACCTGGGGGAGGCGGGTCCACAGGGGAGGAAGAAGCCGCAGACGGTCCTGAAGACATCCACTGGGTACCAGAAAGAAAGCTGAGGGGACACCAAGACAATAAACGGTGTCTGGAGAGGTCACAGGTGCGTGGGTCTCTGTGTGTGTGCCCAGGGTGACAGTGGGCTCGGGTCACAGTCACCGTAGAACCACAGAGAGGGCGCGGCTAGCCCCACTTTGGACCCCAGCCACACGGGGCCCTGCTCTGGAGGCCACAGGCTCCTCAGTGCCTTCCCCCGACTCCTCCCGTGTCCCTTCATTGCAACCCAGCTGTCCCAGCAGAATCCACACACCACACTCGAGTCCTCCTCCTCCCGCAGCCCTGGGTCCCAGCTGTCTCTCCGCACCTCTCCTCCCACCACTGAGCCCACGCCTTCATCTGCCCCTGGACCAGCGGACCCCACCCCTAGGTGCACAGTGGAGCCCCTGGGGGAGCATTTAAAATGACAGATGCCCAAGCGGCCCCCAACAGCTTGCCCTGGGCATCGCAGTTTTAAAAGTTCCCTAGGAAGTATTAGTCAGCCTTGTGTTACTGTGACAAAATGGCCAAGATAATTAGCTTTTAAAGAGGAAAGGTTTCTTGGATCACAGTTTCAGAGTTTAGTCCATGGTCACTTGGTCCTGTGGCTTTGGGCCAATGGTGGCAGAGTCCATCATGGTGGGATCACATGGCAAAGAAGGACCATTCACCTCTTGGTGGCTGGGGAGACAGGAAAGAGTGTGGTCTCATTATCCCTCAAGCCACGCCCCCATTACCTCACTTCCTCCCACTAGGCCCCGCCTCCTAAGGGTCCTATAACAGCACAGGCTGGAGACCAAGCTCCAACACGGGTCTTTCAGGGGACATTTGGTACTCAAGCTATAGCACCAGGTGATGACAGTTCAGCCAGGACTGGGAAGTGCCTCTGCCCTTGGCCCCTTCCCTCCTATCATCCATTTTCAACCCCTGGGGTCAAAGCCCCAACCCAGCTCAGGGCAGGAAGGAGGGAGTGGGGGAGGGCAGGGGCCACCCGGAGTGTGGTCCCTAAGGAGAAGCCAGGGATCCTGATTCTATGCAAAACCTATTTTTTAAGTACTGACCCCAAGTTCTGATTCTTTAAAAAGGATGGGGGCAGGCAGATGAGAACATTTCAGAGGCAGGGTCAGGCCCATGTGTCCAGTGGCTTCTGCCTGGAAACAGAGAACACGCGATCTTTCTGAGACAAAAATCTATTATTCCTCACTGCTAAGACACCCAGCACTTTCCCACGGTGCAAGGCAGTGGACCTGGCCTTCAAGACTACCTCAGCCCCGGCCACTTCCTCCAACCTGATCCAAGCCTCAGGACCTTTGCACATCCTGCTCTCTCTGCCTCAAGTAATTTAACGTGCAGTGAAATTCACCCTTCTGATTGTGACAAACACCGTCATGAACCCACCACCCCTCTCAGAACTCAAGCTCCTTTATCAATTTCTCCTCCCACCCTCGAAGCTGTCAACCAGTTTTCTGTCCCTGGAGTTCTCAGGAACGCCAGGTGCACGGCATCCCGGGCCTCTTGTGCAGAGTGACCGCTGGAGTCCAGCTTCTCACACTGAGCCTCGCACACGTGTGTTTGGATGTTGGTAGCTGGGTGGTGTTGTGGACCTCTGTTCTCCCGCTGAGAGGCACCTGGGTGGACTCCATTTTGGGGGGATTCCCTGTAAATATCCACGCACAGGTTTCCTGGGAATATAAATTCTTCAGTTTATCTGCCTCGAGACCTAGAGGTGGGATTTTTTTAGGGAAAAGGAGCCCCAGGGATTGAACTCAGGGGCTCTCAACCACGGAGCCCCGTCCCCAGCTCTATTTTGGATTTTATTTAGAGACAGGGTCTCACTGAGTGGCTTAGCACTTCGATGTGGCTGAGGCTGGCTTGGATCCTCCTGCCTCAGCCTCCGAGCTGCTGGGACGACAGGTGTGTGCCACTGTGCCTGGCTAGAGGTACGGTAAATGAGTGTGACTTTATAAGAAACTTCCAGATCATCTGAAAGTGGCTGTGAAGTGACCCCTACCTGGCTTTGTTGAACCACAGGTGAGGGCAGTGTGTGTCGTCCCCCAGCTTGGACTCCATGGCACACACCCTTCTATCGTCCTGTATTCTGGAGTCCACAGGAGCCTCAGAACCTTCCCCTGATGATGTCCTGTGTCCCTGAAGCACAGGGGGACACTGAGGCAGAGAGAGACTAACTGCTACGTAAGCCGCCGCGCTGGGATTTGGACTCACGCATGCGCACAGACCGAGACCTACCCTCACGGCCGCCCGCCCTCTCTGCTTCCAGTGCTGGTCGCTCCAGCGTCCCCAGGGGACCAGCCACCGCCATCCACAGAGCTGCTGGGCAGATGCCACTCGTCCCTGGCCTCTGACTGCCTACCTGCAGGGAGGCATCGCCCTGTGCCCTCTGCCACCTCCCCGCCAGCAGCATCCATGATGCTGAATGAAGGAATGGGAGAGGGAAGGACACTCGGCCTGACCTCCACAGCCCTGCTCCAGCCCCTGTCCAGCCCCACGGCTCAGGATCCACAGGTTAAGCCAGGCTCTGTGCGTCCCCCTGTCCCCCAGGACCCGCCGGCCGCCCCCAGCACCGCCCCCAGCAGGTGTGCAGCCTGGCGGCCCCCAGCCCAGCCCGGGGCCGGGAAGCGCTGGAATGGGGCCATTTTCCAAGCGATCCTGGTGGGTTTTTCTGTCCTGTCCATCAGCATCGGGGTGGCAGCGGGGCTGGAATGAGGTGGCTGGAGGCGCCGGCTCGGCGACAGCTGCTTCCAAACGCCTCCAGCGGACCTCGGAGCTGGTCAAAGAGTGTCCCCCGAAGGGCAGGGGAGGCTCAGCCTGGCCTCAGCCCCTCCCAGGGCAGCCAGTGTGAATCGCATCACAGAATTAATCTCTTCTTCAATCAAAGGGGACCAGCCATTCCAGAGCCTGCACCCTGGGTGGGGGCACCCTAACCTCCAGGGTGAATTGGGGCCAAGAGAAATTTTCCAAATAAAGAGCAGCAGCCAGCCACGAGTAGCACTGGGCTGGTGTCAGAGGCCAAGGGAGTATTGTGGCTTCACCAACTGATCAGGAACCCGGCTCCTCCCAGCTCTCCATCCCACTGCACTTAGGAGGAGACCTCACCCTCATGGTCCAAGCTGGCTGCCTAAGCACCATACAACACATCTGCTCTCAAGGCCAGCATGGAAAGGGAGGGGCAGAAGAAAGTCTTGACTCTCCTTTTATACGATTATTTTCTAGAAGCCCCATACAACAAAACTACCTTTATAAAAGGAGGTGTGGAAATTTGGTGTTTGTTCCAGGAAGCAATGTGTAAGAATACAAATTGGCATTGTCACTTATAATGAAGGGAAGAGTGGCGATGGAGGCAGGCAGTGACAGACACTGCTCCAATCCATCCTCCCCACGGCAGCCGAGGGGTCCGTTGGGCCCCTAACAGAACCACCCTTTTACTTAGAGCCTTTGTGTTAGGCTGGACAATGACGTCCCATCAAGCTCAGCTTGAAGAGGTCCCGCCAGGCACAGTGGCGCACACCTGTGATCCCAGCAGCTCAGGAGGCTGAGGCGACTTTGAGGATGCCAAGTTCAAAACCAGCCTCAGCAACTTAGCGGAGCCCTCAGCAACGCAGCCAGACCCTGCCTCTAAGTCAAAACATTTTAAAAAGGGCTGGGGATGTGGCTCAGTGGTTAAGCACACCTGGGTTCCATCCCTGGTACCAAAAATAAAAGTCCTGCTGTTTCTCTTCCTTCAAACTCTCCCAGCACTATGGGGACAGACTGGGCTGCTTAGATGATGGAAACCACATGGAGAAATCACCAGCCCCCTGTCCCCACCCCAGCCATCCCTGTCAGGGTCACTGTCTCTGTCTGTTTTCCGTGACTATAACAGAATCCCTGAGACTGGGTAACTTATGAAGAAAAGTACACATGAAATCACAAAGCCTGAGAAGCACATGGCATGAGACCGGCATCTGCCCACCTTCAGGCCTGTGCTGCTCCCAGCTTGGCAGGAGAGCAGAAGGTCAAAGTGGGGACCTGCAAAACAGAGAACAAGGGACAAACTCCCACAAGAAAGGCATCCGTCCATCCCTGATGGTTCCGTCCTCGTGACCCAGCACCTCCCACGAGGGCCAGGTCAACACTGCTGCAAAAACAATCCAATTCCCACAGGATGTTTGGACGGGTCAAACCATATTCAGTTTGTAGCAGTCACCATCAGCCAGCAAGCCCCAGGTGACCCCTGGCTCATCACAGACACGTGGCCAGCTAAGGTCAGCTGAGCCTGACCAAGACCAGAGGAATCGGCAATGGAGCCCAGCCACCAGGCTGAGCTGCAAGTTCCTGAGCTAAGTCAGAGGGGGATGCTTTAAGCTACTACGTTTTGGGAGTGTTTGTTACGCAGCTGTTGCTAACTGATTGTAATGAACTTCTGACTTTCTTTTGTTTTCAGGATAAAGAAAAAAAAAATCTCACCATGACCACCAAGGTCCTGATCTTTTCTGACTATTGTGGCCTCATTACACAGCATGTCCCATGTCCCTCTCACTGTCTATGGTACGTTCATTGTCTGAGACCCACCTACCCCAGAGCCTTTGCACTAGCAATGCCTCTATCTAGGATCTGCTCTGTCCCCGTCCATCACCCCATCTCAGAACTCCACTCGGCTAAGTTGTGACCGTGTACCTGTTGATGTGATTCTTTGATTAAATCTGCCTGGGAATTGTAACCCCCCAAGGACAGGGATGGTGTCGATTTTGCCCTCGGTGAGTCCCCAGAACCTATGGTGCCACTTTTCCCCAGTGGGGGGCATCAGGGGGTCCCCAGTGTCTAGAACCTTCCTCTGCACACAGTTGGTGCTCAGACGACACTTGTGAACGAATGGACCACGTCTGAGCGTGGCGAAGGCCACCCACTAGAAAGGAGCTAAGCCTTGGTCGTCACGTTAGTTCTTCAAGCACAAAGGAGGTGGCCTCGGGCGGAAGTTATCAACACGCAGAGGGACGTGGGGCTGGCGCCCGGATCGTTTCCCAGCTGACTGTTGGCAGTGATCTCCTGGGCTCACCATGCGTCCCC